TACTGCTCATCTAGAGCAAGCAGGTACATGGTCAAGTGCACCACGGTTGGACTGTCTTCTTGCGCAGCCCTCCCTTGTAAAGCCTCCATTCGAGCCCTCCATGCTCGTCGATTCTTTTCCAAAGGTGGAAAGAACCTCATAGGGGTATGAGCAATGTGCTCTTCATAGATCTAGCAAAGGTACCACAAGGCTTTGCGGGCCATAACTTGGTAGGTGTCGACGAAGCGAAACCCAGTTGTGGTCACATTCCAGGCTTCAGTGATGCCAGGCAACTCCACACTCTTCCCAATGTAGATGGTAACTTCACACCGCTTAGTGCCATGCTTTTCATACTCACAACCCTCATACTACCCATTCATCACAACAATTCCTACAAGTTTATGCTTTAACACTATTAAGCATCTTGAATTAATTAGATTACTCTTGAAAATTCTATGAAACTATGTGAATAAAATACACTAGAAGATAGATCATAATTTTAGGAACCTAACAAAATAAGTTTCACAATTTTTGGTTAGCTACACAAATTGGTATTGAATTTACAAGTTTGGCTTAGAAACTAAATTAGTAAATACATGGAAAAAGAAAAGGGCCAAAATTAACCCATCTGGCCTGCCGGCCCAGTGCGGGGCGCAGGCGCGTGCGCGCCACAGTGGCCCAAAAAGGCCCAAGGCGGGGGAAAGCCCCCGCGCGCGGCACTTTGCAAAAGAGGACTCGATTTTTAGGATAATTAGGCAGAGCGACACAACACTATTACTGCAAACTCACGTTTTGTATTAAAGTCCCTAGAATGTGTTGCCTTCGCAACGAGGCAGCCCTCGGCGCGCCCGCGCGCGGTGGCGCAGCACACCGGCGGCGATAGCGATTACGCCGAACGTACTAGACCTAATGCGACGGTACTAATGGATCGACCACCATCTACGACTAAACCCACAGCGATGGGTGGCGGTTGGGCACTCGGTGATGCCCTGTCGTAGTCTGCCATGGTGGGCGGCGAACCTGTTCCGACGAAACTACGCGCTGACGATATGGTAGAGCTTGTAAGTGAGCAACAAGGACTTACCCCGAAGCTAGCCGAGCACCCAGTTGCGAATGGGAAAGTCAGAAAAACCCTAGCCACGTGCGCCCACACCACGCGGCGGCGCTCCGAGCATGGCACCAGCGCATCACCGCACCGACGATGAGCACCCTGTCCAAAACAACGCAAGCACCGGGCTGAGGGAGTCAAGACGAGCACAGGGTCATGAGCAATTTAACTATCACCCTTCCTACTAGACGCACCTCCCAATCTACCGGTTCGGCGGCGTCCATGACCGGCGGCGAGAAGAAATCAAAATTTGACCGCGATAGGCGACGACTGGACCTGGTGCGAATGGGGCGCATAGCTGACTCCCTCTACTACACGGCGACGCTAGAAATTAGACCGGAAAACCTTGAGCCAGTGAATAAGAAAGGGGAAAGGAGAAAGCGGTGCACTGCCACCACCATGGCGCGGGGAGCGGCCCAGGCCGAGGCGACCGACCAAGACCAACAAGGCATGGTGGCACGTGGCACAGTCGCACGAGGGAGGACAAGGATCGCGCTGCCTAGTGCTCGTGGGGAGCCTTTAGAGAGTACTGCCGGCCATGGCCGAGAGGCAGCGGCGAGGCGACAGCGGCCCCACGACAATGCACGCTGCAACGGTGGCGACATCACGCCGAGAGTAAGGCGGGGTAGGTGGATTGAGTGGCGGAGGTGGAAGCTGCACGAAAAGCGAGCGGCTCCTCCCATCCCTAGGCCTGTAGTACCAACACAAAGCGACGGCACATGAAGAGGATAACCAGAAGGGGAGATAGAAGCATGCTAATCTAGGTTCGTCACGTTGAACGCTGGTTCGTGACGAGCACATTATAGGCTAGCGTTCTTAGCGAAGTTCGAACAATTTTTGTGAGAGTATCGCAACACCTAACACGACTATAACCTGCACTATGCTCATGCGCTCACCTTGGGGCAACCAATAGTGCTCCAACATATAAAAATTGCTTAATCATGTTTGTTGGAATTTAAATGTCGAAATGACATAGTCGATTATCGTTACAGACTTAGAAAGGACGAGAGTCCCGCTTGAACTAAACAACTATTAACACAGTGATTGAATTTTTAAAAGGTCGGAACTTCGTCATTTTCAACTAGACAACATGTCATGACCTAGTCCATACTTCGTACTAACTCGTGGGAATAAAATATTAAAGCACTATTTAAGTATTTTGCATACTATAATTCTTCAAAAAGGACATTTTCTAATTATAAGCTATGTCACATTTTTATTTACAGAAACCGTTTTTCATGCCGAACATCTAAAACAACTTATCCTATTTTTCTTATTAGAATTTCATAAACATGTTTACACATTAATTGATCTAACTCGTAATATTCCGTTCGCTTCTCTTCTCATAAAAATGAGACCTACAATTTAATTATCCTTTCTTGTGAGTTTTAAAATTTTTAACACCCGAAAACTTATTTTTTAAATTTTTTAGGCCTTAATCTAAGCACTAAGCAAGATCGTAACGTTACAAACGGACTCCACGGAAAACAGAACGGCAGCGACAAACAGAGGCTCCAGGCAGTGCGAGATGTAGCAGATGCGGTGCATGGACTCGCCTGGATCTAGCGCCTTCTTGTACTCGTCCGATGCCTTCACCAAGTTAATGGAAACCTGCTGGCCCCACCTTAATCGGAGTAGACGCGGGTTCATTGTTGCATTGGGTTGTTGGTCGACGCGGCGACTTCAGGGCCGCACGGTGGCAGCTCCGCCGCCAGGCTTAGGCCACGCCACTTGCCAACGCGGTGACCGCGCACTCCCGGCCGAATGGTCTGACTGGGAGCTATGTGTGAGTTTTAAAGCGAACGAAAAACTGTCAACGATCATGTTTGAGGCTCCCTCCCATCCCTAGGCCCGTAGTACCAACATTCGAAAGAAACGATCGGCACATGAAGAGGATAACCAGAAGGGGAGATAGAAGCATGCTAATCTGGGTTCGTCACGTTGAACGCTGGTTCGTGAACGAGCACCAGATTATAATTCGCAGCGCGTTCTTAGCGAAGTTCGAACAATTTTTGTGAGAGTATCGCAACACCTAACACGACTATAACCTGCACTATGCTCATGCGCTCACCTTGGGGCAACCAATAGTGCTCCAACATATAAAAATTGCTTAATCATGTTTGTTGGAATTTAAATGTCGAAATGACATAGTCGATTATCGTTACAGACTTAGAAAGGACGAGAGTCCCGCTTGAACTAAACAACTATTAACACAGTGATTGAATTTTTAAAAGGTCGGAACTTCGTCATTTTCAACTAGACAACATGTCATGACCTAGTCCATACTTCGTACTAACTCGTGGGAATAAAATATTAAAGCACTATTTAAGTATTTTGCATACTATAATTCTTCAAAAAGGACATTTTCTAATTATAAGCTATGTCACATTTTCATTTACAGAAACCGTTTTTCATGCCGAACATCTAAAACAACTTATCCTATTTTTCTTATTAGAATTTCATAAACATGTTTACACATTAATTGATCTAACTCGTAATATTCCGTTCGCTTCTCTTCTCATAAAAATGAGACATACAATTTAATTATCCTTTCTTGTGAGTTTTAAAATTTTTAACACCCGAAAACTTATTTTTTAAATTTTTTAGGCCTTAATCTAAGCGATCGTAACGTTACAAACGGACTCCACGGAAAACAGAACGGCAGCGACAAACAGAGGCTCCAGGCAGTGCGAGATGTAGCAGATGCGGTGCACGGACTCGCCTGGATCTAGCGCCTTCTTGTACTCGTCCGATGCCTTCACCAAGTTAATGGAAACCTGCTGGCCCCACCTTAATCGGAGTAGACTTCGGGTTCGACTGTTGCATGGCCACGCGAGTCTTCAATCTGGGTTGTTGGTCTTCGCACGGCGACTTTAGTTCGGCAGCAAATCTCCGTGTTGACGTCGCAGGCAAGATGAAAGTCGATCTTGCCGGGACGTAAGTCTTGAGATCCCGTTCGCCATGGAATCAGCACATACACCCTCTACCTGGCGTGCAACTGTCGATGAAATCTGGTCGGCAATCTACCAAGGGATATGCCCGCAGTAGTACCTGGGGTTATACCTCCACACTCGGAGGTGAAAAAAATAGCTTATCCTGATTCACTTCACGCATAGAATCACTATATGCAGTTCATCCGAAATCATAGTGGATCAATTTCAGTCAGAGAATCACTTCTCATATATATTCAACTTCCATGAAGAATTTAAAGCAGGAAGAGCCCTACCAAATCACCAAATCGATCCTTAAATTTCGCTAATTTAGTTGGTGGATTTTTTCTTCTTTACATGGTATATATTAAAGATTATAAATTTTCATATGGATCTGGATGTACATATAAAAGTTATATATGAATCTAGATGTACAGAATTATAACTTCACAAACTTTTTATTTGGGACCATCTTAACGCCAGACTTCTATTATTTTTGTTTCAAGATGGGTTCAAACGATTTTGCCCCAAATTGTTCATATCTTATCGAGCACTACAATCTCATAAACTTTTTTTTCCATTAAACTTCACAAGGGCAAAATTCTCAGCGCGAAAGCAAAAATAGATGGATTGAGGGACCCAACATAAACTTGGATTTAGCCATCTTTCTACTATCTACTGGCTAGACCTCAACTTAGAGCAAAGCATGAACTTAGCTTCCTATCATCAATAAGATTGACTCGAACATGTGATTGGTGTGCTTGAGAAAACTTATGATTTTTAAGATATACAGCATAGAAAAGGTAAGTTCCGCCATTTGAATGGTCAGAATAATCTCACCGTTTCAATTGGCAATCGGAGTATATTTCTGCTAATTTATTTGGGGCAATTATTTTTAGTAAAACAAATTAAAGAAAAAAAAAACAGATTTCTTTGTTTTTTTTGACAAGTCAGATTTCCTTGTTTTGGAGGAACCCTGGAGGATGCGTCCGACGGTGACCGCTTGCCGCCTCCCCGCTGTTTTTCTTTGCTCATTGAGCCATTCCAGCCCACGCATCCTCGCGCTCCTCGGCATTCCGCCGAACACCTGTCTAGGTCTACCTCTTACCACCGCCTCCATGCCGCTGGCCAACCCCACGCCGCCCAAATGGCCGAAGACCCTCACCGCAGACCACCTCCACCGCCTAGTTCGGGCCGAACGGGACCCTCGCCGCGCCCTTGCGATCTTCGACGCTGCCACCGCCGCTTCCACTTCTGCGGCAGACCCCATCACCCCGTCTCCGGCCACCGTCTCTCTCCTTACCTATCGCCTCGCCTCCGCCGGCCACCTCCCCCTCGCCACCTCCCTTCTCTCCCGCTCACGCGGGGTCTTCCCCTCCGTTGCCGCCCTCGAGCCTCCCTTCCTCGGCCTCCTCCGCGCCTTCTCCCGCACGCACCGCCCGCTCGCCGCTCTCCACCTCTTCCGCTCCGCCCCCTCCGACCTCGCGCTCCCCCACTCTGCTCGCTCTTACAACGCCGTCCTCGCCGCTCTCGTCGCGCACTCGCACCTCCCCCTGGCCCGCTCCCTACTCGCCGACATGCGCGCCGCCGGATTCGCCCCCACCGCTGCCACCTACAACGTCCTCCTCAAGGCCCACTGCTCCGACGCTGCCGCTCACATCAAAGACGCTCTCCGCCTTTTCCGGAACATCCCCAAGCCAGACGTCTGCTCCTACAATACCATCATCGACGGGCTCTGCCGCCGTGGCCGCCTGGCCGAGGCCCTCGAGATGTTCTCCGAGATGGTTGGGAAATGCATTGCACCTACCGTTGTTACTTATACCACTGTTATCCATTGGCTCGCAAGGGAGGGTTGCTTTGATGATGCGTTAAAGATATTTGATGAAATGGGGAGGAGAGGGGTCTCGCCTAATCTGGTCACTTATAGTTCGCTGGTTGATGGACTGTGCAAGGGTGGACGCGCCGCATCAGCGTTAGAATTGATGGATAGGATGATCAAGGAGAAGAAGCTATCAAATACGATCACATATAGCTCGGTGATTGATGGACTCTGTAAGGAGCACATGCTGAGTGAGGCAATGGAGGTCTTGGACCGGATGCGACTACAGGGGCGGAAGCCTGATGCTGGGTTGTTTGGGAAGCTAATTGTTGGGCTATGTGATGCAGGAAGGGCTGTGGAGGCTGCAAATTACCTGGATGAGATGGTTCTTGCCGGTATTGAACCGAACCGGGTGACTTGGAGCTTGCATGCCAGGATAAACAATACCGCGCTGACAGCATTGTGTGCCAAGGGTGAACTTGGTAGGGCTTTTCAGGCCTACCAGAGCACAAGGACTCGCAGTATTTCTACCGACCCAACCACTTTCCATCTTCTTGTTGAGAGCTTCTCCAAAAAGAACATAGAAAAGGCTGCCCATGTTGTGCTTGACATGCTGTCAGAGAGATGCATCCCTGAGAGGGAGACATGGGATGCTATTATTAGTGGATACTGGAGTAAGAAGAAGGTGAGGCAAGAAGCCGAGGAAATTTGGGACCGGCTAACTGTTAGTTGATTTGAGAGAAATTTGGCTCTATGTTGTGCTAGTACCTGGTGTCTCACCTAAACATCTTGGCCAGCTTACTCGTCAGGTATGATGTGATTATATCTCCCAATGTCCCTTCTGTATACTACAGACCTGCTTTCATAGAGTATTGGTGTGATTGTTTGATGTGGGTGTGGGGAGAGGCTTTTTCATTGCGAGAAAAGAAACAAAAGAAAGCCCCCTAATTCAAAGACCCAGAAGTAGGAACTTAATGTTCATGTTTTTAAGTAGAGGATACAGCTTAGCTTATAGCTCAAACTATTGCATACCAAAAGTAGTTAGATGTAACTATTGAGACATCCGTGCTAGACTGCTAGTAATATTGAGAACTTGAGATTTATAATTTATTGACCAAGTAAAATAGAGTTAAGTTATTGTTTGCTGTATGTGCTGGTTATGTTCCTCTGATGGATAGTTGTGTCTTGTGCTTGGTGTTATTCGACAATGGAATAGAAGGCATAAATGCTGTGTTGGCATGGTGCTACTTCTCTATTATTTGCTAGCTTATTCATAACTAGAAATGACAAAATATCTTTGTTCTGCACATATGCTCTCATTTTGCTTTCTAACAAAGGAAGAAAATATTGTCTAGATAAAACACAGAAAAAATATAATTGGTGTTTGTACTGGAAACAATTATAGTTTTGTTTAGGGTTCAGACTGGTCATTATCAACTTCTGTTTATGATGTCCCCATCTACTTAATTTATCATAAGATATAAAAATAACGAAACTGACACAAACAATCTTAAGACAACATGCATGCGATACTAATTGATCAAAACCAAAGTGAAGATTTTCATAATTGTACAGAATGCCAAAAGTTTTCATATAGTCCCCCTGAAATGCAGAGCTAGTTTATTGCAACTTGCAATCACTCTGACCATTCATTCGCATTCCATTTGCATATCCTCGTTGGAGGTGGCATACAATTGCTAACTCAAACTATTCAGGGGGGTGTACCCAGTGCAGAGAGCGCCCGCTCTGTGCAGGGTCTGGGGAAGGGTGTTAGTGGCAAGCCTTACCCTCGCCTGTGCAATGCGAGGAGACCGCGACTCGAACCCGGGCCTTCCGGTCACAGGCGGTAAGACTCTACCGCTTGCACCAGGCCCGCCCTTCTAACTCAAACTATTCAACAGCAGAAATAACTATAAAATGAAATGATACGAGTTTTATTCAAGAAGTAATGTTTTAGTTTGCCAGGTTGTGATGGTCAACCAAACAGTTTCATGATTTTGTATGGGTGCCCTTTGTTCACAGTTGATACTACAAACATATCATATGTACCAGGCATCGATTTTGATTTCATATACAAAACCCATCTGTCAAATGTCACCATCAATTTCACTTTCGCCATTAAGTGAAACTCTTCCCAAAATATTATTGCTAGAGATAGATGTTTGTTGTAATGCTATACATCTCCAACCTACTCAAGTGGCTTACAAGTTACAACTAATTGATTCAGCAGGAACCAGGGCAGACAAAAATTTGAAGACCCTATTATTGTGAAGAGAGTGTGGAGCCAATGCTGTGGCGAGTGGTAGGGAAGCTAACAAATAGCAGGCTTCCAATGATCCCAATGGCAACTGGTAATGCTGTGAGAAGTTGCTTTGTATCCTCGGATGGTGTTGGATAGAAGCAGGACACCACATTTTGGTCAAACAATGCGATTGCTACAAAAATCATAGCTGAAACAATGGCATGTACAAAGTCTAGAAACCGCATCCTGAATCCTGCTGCTGCAAGTGGTTCAAGAGGAGCCCCACCATCAATGACCCACAATCCCCTGAATGTGGCAAACCCGTATCGTACCTTCCCTTCCTCATCCCTGAAGCTATCTGTGAAGCTGAGAACAAAGCAGGATAATGCACAGAGCACCACGAGCCCTCCTGTCATCATTCGGTTCATGTCACTGCAGTGGCCTTGTTTTGCCAGAAAGAACAGTGCCAGAAGGAAGGAGTTTGGCGAGGTGGGCAGTGCTCTGGTATGTTTGGCCTATTGCTTTTTGCATGGGGCTCATGTTGTTGTTTCCATCAGCTCTGTTTGACAAGAGAGGGCGTCTCTCATTGTGCTGCAACTCAGCGTCGAGGTGTGTAGCAGCCATTGTTGCTGGCCTCATTGTTTTTTTTTCACCCTAACAAAGTTCAGGAGATCTAATGTCGGAGATTTGAGCAGAAGATGGGTGTTTCTGCCAATGGAAGGGGAGGGATCTGAAGGGGAGTAAGCTGTAGTCGTTTGCTGTTTGCTGCCATTCTAGATGCTCCTTCAATAAAAATAGGATCAAAACTGACACAAGCTGGGAGTTATATTTTAGGTTTCTGGCGAGACAAACATGAAGAATTTTGGTGCTGCAGTTTCTCTTTTGCGTTCCAGCTGTTTTAACGCACATTTGGGTAACAGCGGGAACAGTAACTAGTAGTGCTTGCTTATGTAAAGCGTGCGGTTACAGTATGGCCGTCGGCAAATTCATAATTATGGCCTATGGCTTTATTTTTCTTCTATGGGGATAATTGGACATGCCAAGAACCAGGAGATGGCTTGCTATTGCGACCAAAAGTCGGTGCCCCTCTGATCTGTAGATTCTTTGACGATAACATGGTGTTATTTGGTAATAAAGAGAACATGGACGGGCTGTAGATGTGATCCTGACATCGCAATAGTATACTTGACAGCATGGTTTAACGACACTCCCCCCAACCCTGATTTTCTCTGTATCTGCTGGTGATTTTCTGTAACTCTGTGGAGTACGTTAACAACTACCCAACGTTTGTGTTGTTCTTGTTTTCTCTAAATAGCTAAGCTGTGAAACTGACGAAGGAAGTACTCCCTCTGTTCAAAGATAAATGTATATTTCACTTCGAAGAGTCAAACTCTTTTCAGGTTTGACTAAGTATAGAGAAAATAATATTAACATTTGTATTTTCAAATAAGCTTATCGAAGAGTCAAACTCATTACACATCATAGATATTAGTATATATATATATATATATATATATATATATATATATATATATATATATATTTGGTCAGATTTTGAAAAGTTTGACTCCTTGAGGTATGCATTTATTTTGCTGACACTATAAAATGATTAAAAAGGGAACCACGGAAGCTGAGACAGGGCTCAACAGTTATGGGCCGATCTGTTGATCAAAAGCCCAAGCCAAGGTCATGTGGCTATCAACTGATCATCTGAACATTTAACTTTTCCTTTTAGCAAATGATTAGAGATTTCATTAGCTGGGTTACAAGATGCAGAGAAAACAGAGGGGATGAGCTGGACGGTGGCCAAACCACCTAGCTCTTTTCTTTTTTCTTCTTATGTGGTCACATGTCCGGAATTCAGAGCATTGGCAGTCAGTCTCTAGCGTGTGCGGGCCAAATAGCCATCTGAACATAACTGATGCAAAGAGCATGTCACCTTGTCTTCGACAAGCTCCAGAAGAACAATGCAGGTAAGCATTGCTTCCATCCTCCATGAAAAAAAGACAAAGATCATATGCTTGCATGCATGTCTTGTGCATGGGACCATAAAGATCACGGGCACAATCCACTTTAGTCTCCGACAAGTAAAATGCTTTTCTTAAGACAAAAACCTCCTGCAGTGGCCCCAGCTGCTCATCCCAGCATCTTTGCTGACGGCACCAAAGATACCAGCAGTCCAGCACACTGCGGCAGCATTCCATTAGCACTCGATCACCAGGAGTGTGGGGGAACATTGTAAAGTCGCCGAGAGACGACAGCGCACGGCTTTAATCATGTGGATCTTTCTTTCCATCCATCTTGCATCATTGCGTGATCATGTGTGTGCAGCAGTTGTCCTCAGTGTACATATAACTCTATAAAAGAAATACTATATACCTAGATCTCCTAGTTAATTTGCCAACTCGGGAAAAACATTCATACGAGTTTTTAGTGGTAGGTTATTCACGAATAACCATATGTCAAAGTTTAACTAGTTCTTTACACTCATTTTATCAGGAATATTCAGTGCAAACCACGTCTTCGGTGCAATCGTGAAAACCCTTTGCAAAACCATATTTAGGAGTTTTCAAAAAATTTGAAACTATGTACACCAATAATGGATCTATAGATGCGCACTGTCACAAAATTTGAGATTCAAACTCATTTTGCAAAAATTCATATGAAAATAACAAATTTCATTTGCATATGCATTGGCGCACCTCTAGTGCATATGCAAATCAAATTTGTTATTTTCATATGAATTTTTACAAAACGAGTTTGAATCTCAAATTTTGTCACAATGCATGTCTATAGATGCACTATTGGTATGCATAGTTTTAAGTTTTTTGAAAACTCCTAAGTATGGTTTTAATGGGGTTTTCACGGATTGCACTAAAGATGTGATTTGCACTAAATATTTTGCCTTTTATCAGCTGAGTTCAGAAGCAGTCCCAACTCCCAAGTACCTCTTTCACACGAAGCACCATCCTTGCGCTCTTTTAAGGCGGGCATGTCTTTGTCCACTTCACAACGTAGCACATGAATGTCCCAAAACAGTAGTACATGTATCAATACTATATGAAATTTGTTAACAAGTCAATAGGCCTGTACAAGAAACTTGTCTATGATAACTATATGAAATGCATTCGATGCATATAGTGGAGACACAGAGAGTACAAATTATAGTCAAAATAAATAAACAGTACTACTCGAAAAATGTTTTTAAGTAAAAAAATCTAAATGCTGCAATTTTAAAATACATAGCTACCTGCGCTATTTGCTTGGGCCACTTCCCTACTACTCTCTCCATCCCCAAAACATGTAAATCTCATTTTTCAAGGCCACACTAGCGAAGATGTGAAATTACACATGTGCCCCTGCTGTCTCCTTCTCAATACACACCTAGAACTAAAGAAAAACCATCTACAATCTTCACTGGAAATGCAGAGTTAACATGTTTTTTAATTGCATAAGTATTTTTTTATTGGTGGGTTCCACCATAAAGCTTACTCTCTCCGTCCCACAAAACATATACACCGTGTTCAGCTGGTATACTTTCAGCTTGTTTCAGCTTATTCTCTCTCACAGAATACTATTCAATCATCCAAAAAAATCCAAAAAACACTGTGCTGCAGACCATCCGAATGAGCTGGTAATCCTGCAGTTCAAATCTTGTCCCAAAATTCATGTAATCCTAGAGTTCAGGTTATCTTTTCGGATGGTCCCCACCAATAAAAACATTGCACTTTTGGAAAACCATCCCATCCCTTATTGTACTTTGAAGGAACATTCTAGATTGCTCTTGAATTCTAGCATATTAGAAGAAGGATATAGGAGGGGCACATTGAAAGGTCCATAGTTTGGTTTTGTTAATTGAGTGACAACCTAGGTGGACTAATGTGTTTGAATGTGAGGTGATTAGTCCACTGATACACTTGTATGAGCAACTCATGCCATGATGGTGAAGATGGCTTGGATATGTTGCAAAGCTCACACATGTGATGAAGGAGCTCATTGCATATGAGACATGACATTGAGTCATGTGAGTAAGGTGGAGAAAATCAAGACAAGACTTGGCTTGATGGATCGATTGCAAGTATGAAGGGCAAGTTGAGTGATACTTGGCGCCGATGGACCGAAGCAACAATGAAGAGCAAGTGAAGTCAAGATCGATGAACCAATACGGTCATGTGATGATATGAAGTGGATGATATCATTTGTGATGGGTTGGTGCATGTGTTGCATCAATGATGGACGAGATGGAATGGAATGCGCAAGGAAAAGGTATATTTGTAGGGCATTTAATTTCACCGGTCATAGGTGTGTAGAGAAGTTTATGATCGGGTTTAAGATAGATGGACCGTACTATCAAGAGGGGCAAACTTATTTGCAAATCGGTCATCTAGTGCCACTCGAGTGATCTAACTTTGCATCGTTGCTAGGATCGAGTGGCATGGTGAATTCAGTGACTAATCATTTGAAAAATATTTGTGAAAATGTTAACACACTTGCACAAGGTGTTGTATACTTCGTGGTGTTGGCATATTTATAAAGGAGAAGAAGTTGGAGTTGATTTGGATCAACTTGGAGAAGAAAAGGAGGAAAGTAGTGGGACCGGACTCTAGGTCTCGGCGACTGGACCCTGAGGGCACGAGTCCGATGCCAAAACCTGGGTCTCGGCCAGCCTTAGTGGCTTCACCGGACCCTGAGCGAAGAAGTGATCGGACCCATAGCCGCACGTCTGGTCATCCAATGCAGGGGAGGCGCAGTAGCGAGGCTACGATCAGACTCTGGCCAGGGGGCGCGATCGGATGTGCCGCTGGCACTATTCCTCAGACGTCACAGCGAGGTGTGCGTGACCGGACGCTATGGCGAGTCCGGTCAGCTAGGACCAGACGCATCGGGTCATTGAAAGCATCTCTGGAACATCTCTGTTCACGATCGGACTCTGGAGCGTGGTGCGTTCGGTCAGGGGACCATCGGGTCTGGTCAGAAGGTGTTGAGCGCACGAGCGAGTTAGCTGTTGGCGGTAATGACTACTTTCAAATGGTTGAGACACGTGGTTGTCCAGGAGCGACCGGACGCGTCCAGTCAGTACCAGCGCGTCCGGTTGATGCGCAGAGTGCCCAGTGAAGGGGTACAACGGCTCTATTTGCTTAGGGGCTATAAAACCAAGCACTAGTCGGCCTTGGGCTAGTTGCTGAGCACCCTTGAGCCTTGGTGGCTTATGTAGGAGTGCTTGGGAGCCCTCTAACTCACTTGTGCTTGCAAGAGTGCGAATCAATTGTGAGTGAGTGATTCTAGTGCGATTGCATCGTGAGGTTGCATCAAGTGGCATTAGGTGATCGAGTTGCAAGTCGGTGGTGCTTGTTACTCTTGGAGGTCACCACCTCCTAGATGACTTGGTGGCATGATCTCCATTGAAGCACGCAAGAAG